GGGGAGTAGGAAGGAGGAGGCGGCGGGGCGAGAGGTCGCTGTGCATGGAGATGGTTCCCTGGCACCCCTGGACACTTCCTTCCTCCGGAGACCCCCGGCGCTCCCCTATTCTGCGCCCCCTCTGGGTCTCAGTGGCGGCGAGACAAGCTTGCGGGGTTGCGGACGTCAGGGGCTCAGCACGGGGTCTGTGATCGTCACCCGTTTTCGAACTGGGGAGCCCCAGACGTTTGCGGGGAAATCGTTCGTCCCAGCGGCAGGGGATCGGCCGAGCCCGCGAAGTGACCGGTAATGGCTGGATGGCGCAGCTGGGACGCGCGCGACCCGTGCCTGTGGGCTGAGGGTGCCTAGGGCCGCTGTGTGACTGGGGTCGGCAACTCAGCCTCTCTGGTCCTCGCGCCGGCCCCGCCCCATGCCCCGCCCCCCCCGCCCCAGCCCTCGGGTTTCTGGGAGTTGTAGTCTCGGCGACGCCAGCGGGCGCGGTGCCTTCTAGGAGTTGTAGTTCCCAGGCACGGGCATCTCCTGGACACGTCGCACACCCGCGCCGCGGCGGGACGGGGTCTCGGGGCCGAGGAGAAGCGGCCCGAACTCACCGCGCGCCCGGCGGAGGTCGCCCAAAGCCCCCGGAGCGGGACCTAGACGGGGAGGGCGCGGCTGCGCAGAGTGCGGGGCTGTTCCCTCGCGGTGCAGAGGCGGGACGACCCCCGCGCCGGCCCCTTCCCTCCCCTGCCCACCCACCCGTCCTCTCCCAGACGCCCGCTGCGCGCCCTGGGAGGAAAGGGGTGCAGCCCGAGGGCGCGGGGCCCCCCAGCACGAGGGGGCCGCCACACCCGGCCCGCACCCGCAGCGCCCGAGCCCCTGCACGATCTGACCCTCGCCCCGCGTGGCCGCCGCTGCCCTGCGCCGCCCTGCCCGGGCCTGGGCCCCGCTCCCTCGCAGCCCTGGCCCGGCCTGGCCTGGCCCCCGCTGCCCTGCGTGCGCCCCCCACGCCGCCAGCTGCCCAACAAGCCACTGCTCCCGGGACAAAGGGCACTGGCTCGCGTTTCCCTTTTCTGTCCTGCAGATCCGAAACCGAGACTGTGGCGGAGCCGCCGGGAGCAGGACACACGGGCTGCCGGCCCCGCCGGACTCTGCAGCGGAGAGACTGGCCGCGCCAGCACCTCCCATGGGCTGGAGAGCGGAGACAGCGCGGCCCCGGGGTCCGGGAGCCTCGGAGGCGCTGGTTGGGGGGGCGGCCCTCCAGGCTCAGCGGCACCGTACACCAAAGGACCCCCCCACCAGAAGCCGCTGCCTTCGGGGCGCCCCGTTGCCGCAGCACTGCGTGGCCCACTACGCGCAGGTACACTGCTCTCGGAGCCATAAACACAGCAGGACCCCCAACATCATCTCACCAGTCACGTCCACGTGGTGGGCAACTTGTGAAGTCAAATAACCAGCCACCCCTCCCCCGGCACCGAGCCCAACCAGGTACTAAGTCTCCCCCAGAGGCACCGATTCCCCCAAGAGTCCTCCCAGGGCCCCCCCAGTCACCATTGTCTGTGGTTCCCTGGCCGGCAGCCTCTGCCCCATTTCCGGGTAAGCGAGGGTTCATGTGAATATTCGTTCATTTGCCTGAATGCACCCCCACGCAGGCCGCCCCTGGGGATTCCGTTCATTCTCTTAAACCCTACACACGGCGTACCCCGAGGTGCCCACAGTCTGGGCACAACGTCGACTGACGAACTGCCCTGTGTGTCTAGGACAACAGGTCTACGCAAAAATCTCACATTTTTTTTAAAAAAAACAGGATTTTCCAATTATACCGAAAAGTATAAAGCATGGTACATTCCCTAATCCAACACCTTTAAAATTTTAAACAACACCAAGAAAAAGAAGAGTTTACTAGGCTTTACAATAGGTAACAGGTTATGAAATAGGTCATGAAAATGTCTATATGTTTCCAAATATATTTTGAAATAAATTATAAGAATTGACCTCACTTCACTGGTAGATACCTTTGCTTGCGTGTCTAAGCAAAATCATCTCCTAAACAGCCACAGCATCATCCCAACAGAGTGAGTCTCTTCATATCCTTGTCCAAGCCATACTCAGGTTTCCGTGTTCCACCCCCAAAAGTTTGAAAAACATGATTTATTTGAAAATAAGTTAAACCAAGTGATCTGTGGGTGTCTAACAGTTGGAGGAGAGCTGATACCCAGGAGACCTCTCAGCTCTGCTCTGCGAAGGAAGCTGGGACTGTCAGGCTTTTTGCTTTTGGTCTGGCATCACCAGCACTGGCCCTGGTACACAGGAGGTTCTCAGAAAACTTGGGGAAATGAGCAAGTGGGTAAAGTCCTGGCCTGGCCCTGATACCCAGCAGGTCAGGAATTGTGGGGTCTGAATCTCTCCTGTACTCTGGATGTCACCCAGGCTTCAGCACACAGTGGGTCCTCAGGAAGAATGAGTCCTGGGGTGAACAGATGCATGGTGAGCATCCACAGCACTAGCCCTGGGGACTGCCAAGTTAGAAACCAAGCATCCTGGCTCTTTCCTGCACCTGGCCATTGGCACACAATAGGTCCTCCGGAAGTCCCCCACCCTCCGCAGCTGAATGCAAGTTCACCCAGCATCCACCCTAGAGTCTTTGAAGGTGAGAGACAACACACAGTTTTTCCTCCCAGGGCCACGGACACCATCTAGGTCTCAGCACACACTAGGTCCTCAAGAAATGCTGTGCTGGACTATTCAACTGAACGCGCCCAGGCCCAGAGCCCAGTGTTATAATCACTCAGTCCAGCCTCTCCCTCTGGCCCACATACCCCTCCCCCCCGCCTCCACAGTAGGTGCTCAAGAAACGCCAGCTGGGTGGTTGAATGTGTGAAATGAGACCCCAGTTTCCAGGGGCAGATTTCACTCAGGCGAAAGCCAGGCCTCCTCCCACAGGAAGTCAGCGCCACTTCCCTTTGCGTGAAGGACCTTTTCTTCTCTCAGGACGCCCCTCACTTCGGCTTCCACTTGAAGCTCCTTACCGGGGTGTTTTTCTCACATCGAGACCTTTGGGTCTGCGCAGGTCAACCCGGCAGACAAACGCCAACACAGACGTGCACGTGGCGGCCCACAGTCACCCTTTCTCCCCCTTCCAGCCTGTAGTTGATGCGGAACCCCCCAGGCCCTCCCAACGCAGGCGCGCGGGGCTCCTTCGCCTCTGACACGGCGTGCTGGGGCGGGCGGCGCGCGCACATTCCCCACCGATCCTGAGCCCGCTGGGAGGGCCCAAATGCGCCGCTCCGCCGCGGAACAGCCCCAGGACCGTGCACGCAGCTGCGGGGTTCAGCGTCATGGAGGGCTCCTGGCATCACCCCAGCCGAGCCGAGCAGACGTCGGCGGGAGCGGAGGGCGCGTAGGGCGGCCCTGTCCCCAGAGGCGCGCGCGCGCGAAGGTGGCCGCGTGGGTGGAGTGACCCCCAGGGTAGGGCCCGAGGCCACCACCGGCGGGCCGCTCGGCAGGAGGCCTGACCTCTGGGCAACACCTGCTCCCTCAGCCCCTAGGCAGGCACCGGACTCCCTGGTCGCCTCCGCCCCCGCTTCCCAGGGCCCGGGGCCATTGGATCGTTTCCCGCGTCCCGCGTCCTTGCGTGGCTCGTGCTGGTGCACGCGTGCCAACCCCACCGCCTCGTCTCGCCCGCCCAATCTCGGTGTCTCCCCGGGAGCGCGGCCGCCGGGACCCAATAGAGCCACGCGCGAAGCGGAGCCAGGCGGGCGGTGAGACCGCATAGTCGGCGCCCGCCGCCCGAACGCCCACCCGCGAAGGGAGCGGATTTGGCTGCGGCGCCCGGCGCGCGGTTCCGGGAGGCCGGAGCGCACGGGCAGGACGAGCCGGTTGGATGGGCTGTGCGCGCAGCGTCCGACACCGGGAGATTGCGAATGCAGGTTTACAGGGGAGGCGGTCAGCGCGCTCGCCGAGACGGGTTGGGGCTACGTGATGCACGGGTGGACCAGCTCTCCGCGGGGTCCGCGCCTTCTATCGCAGCCCGCCGGGACCCCCAGCCCACCTAGGTTCAACAGCCCGCTGGGAGCCCAGGACCTCCACCCGCCTGGGACGCCTTGTCCACGGAACGCCCAGCCCGCCCGGTACCCCGGAGCCTGGGACCTCCGAGAGCACAGCACCCCCAGCCCGTCCAGGACCCCAGCCCGCCCGGAGACCACCGCAGCCCGCTGGACGCTGCCCAGCGCCGAGCGCACATCTGCCGGCTGGGTCCCCCGGGGGAGGCTGCGGCTGCATCTACTTTGGCCCGACTGCCGCGTCCCGCTCCGGGGGAGGGAGCGCTGCGGTGGTGCTCAGTGGGGTATGAAACGACCCGGGTTCAGCCCCGCTCCTGCACCTACCGTGCCCGAAAGTCGGAGGTGCAGCCGCTGTTTACACTAGTCGCGGGGACAGGGGCGGGGTCCGCGAGCTTGGGCGACCTGGAACCGGAGCCGGGACAGCCGAGGGGGCCCGAGTCGCCAACCTGGAGCCGCGGGTGGGGCGGAGGAGGCTAAGCCGGGTTGAGAACCCGGTGCGAGGTGGGCTGTCGCGGGGGCCGAAAGCAGGGGCCGCGGGCGGGCGCGGGGTCTGGGGCGGGAGCCGCAAGTTGCGAGCTTCAGGCCCAAGCCCGCGGAGAGGCCAGACCCCGGGGCCGCGAGCTGGGGTCGGCGCCGCGCGCTAAAGCCGGGGGCCGGGGCGGAGCCGCGAGTCCGGGGCTGGATCCTGGAGCTGCAAGACGCGGGTTTCCGGCGGGGTCGGGCTGGAGCCGCCCTCGGGGAGGGCCGCGGCGGGGAACCGGGCCGGCAGCGCCCCCGGCACGAAGAGGCCCCCTCCTGTACGGCCAAAGCTGGAAGGCCCCGCAGGAGCGACCCGCTCCTCCCCGCACTGCCCCGAGGTCGACCAGAGGCCCCGGCGCGCCCCGGGCGGCGGGGAAGGGGTCGCGCGCGTGGGCCGGGGGCCGGGCCGTTGCTCCAGGGGCCCGCGGGGGCCTGCGGCTCAGCCCCGCTCCTGGGCGCCGAGATTTTTTTGGCCCCAAACCGGCGCTTTTTACCACCAGAATATTGGTGGCTGCTCTCCCTAGGTGGAGCTCCCGGGGCCTCGAGTGTCTCGCCAGCGCGCGAAGTTTGCCTATCGGCCCCACGCGGGCGGTTTCTTTTACAAACCTACGGGATGAGGTCGTGCCCATCCAAGCGAGATCCTGCCTTAAGAAATAAGGAAAAAGAACGCGCTCTCCACGGGAGGCAGCCGCAAAGGTACGGCGCTGTGCGGGCCTCGGCTCACTGGGCGCGCTGCCCAGCGCGCAGAAAAAGCCCCCTGAGGCTTCCCAGCTGTTGGCGCCGATGCCCCTGTGTCGTCCGCGCTGCTAGACACATCGCTCCTGGTGTTTTCACCTCCGGGTACCTGAAGAACGGGTTCTGGCGGCCCGTAGTGAAAGGTCTTCGTCCATGTTCAGGCCCCGGCCTATCAGTTCTCCAAGGGGTTGCGCAGCAGCCCATATCTACTAGCTGTGGAAAGTCACCCTCTCACCGCGCGGGCTGGGGCCGGGCCCCCAGTAAGATGCGCCGCAGGGTATGGGGTCGTGTTCCCGCAAGAGCGCTCCAAAAGTGGGGAGCCAGTCTGCTGGAGTTCCTATGGCGCTGTGCGTGAAGCTGTGCTCCCCCGGCTGCGAATCTGGGGCAGGGTCGCGAGAAGGTGGGCATGTCTGGGGTCCCCCATACCATCTCGCCCGTCGCTGGCGTTGCGGTGCCCATGTTTTTCCGAGAAAGTCCGTGCCCCTGCCCGTAGGTGCTGCGCTTCTTGCTGGCGGTGCATTCCTGTACGCCCGCTGCTCTTGGAGTTGATGTCCCCTGGTCCCCGCAGCAATGTGCGGTGGTAGGTAGGGGTGCCTCCCTCGGACGCTCGCTACCCGCCCCTGTGGGTGGCGGCCTCGGAAACCCCTGAATCCTGTGCATGGGGTGGTTTATACTTTTATGCGATTATCTCCCCTCATCTGGCAAGCCTGGCTGCTTCCCGGTCTTTGCCGACCATGTATTTTGGTTAGAAGGCCCGATTCCTTCCAGTACCTGCTTTTTGACTATCATCTGCTCTCTAGCATGCAGAGCCTTGTGGTGCCCCTCAAGTGCTTCCTGAAAATGCTTAGGTGTCTGTGGCTGAGAGTGCACAGAAGGTGTCACTGACCTTCTCACCTGGGAGGTGAAGGGTTTGTATGGCTCTTTATGGTCTTACCACTGATGGTAGTCTACACCCTTAGTGTGGGAGGGCCTAGGCCTGTTGGGCTGGTGCCCAGTACCTGCTCCCCCTGGGTCCTTGGACATGCCCCTGGTTGTAGTTGGGGGAGTCCTGAGTTGTGGGTCATTGGGGGACGCACTCCAATATTCTCAGTTTGGGTCACTTTGAATTAGAGCTGATGCCCCCAGCACATGGGGTTGTTCCAGAGGTGCCACCTTGGGGGCCTTTCTATTGGGTTGGGGTAGCAACATAAGAGGTGGGTGCTCTCTGTGCAGGCCCTGGGATTGTCTGTCATTAAGCTGTGCCCTATCCACCCCTGGCCCTGTGGGGGGGTCTGTGGTGGCCACTGCTTGCATATGGCTTCTGGGCATCAGACTGATAATGTGGTTGCTGGCAATGCTGTCCCTGCAATGAGGCTGCTTGTAGGGGGCTTGGTGCCTTTGTACCCTGTGGGGCTGGTTGTGAGTGGAGAGCCCCCCCCAGGCTGGACCCTAAAGTGGTGGAGCTTGTGGCTGGAGCAGGTCAGTCCCTCTGACCTCTGGTAGATAACTTGGCTCATGGGGGTTGAGTGTGCCCTATCATGGAGGTGTACAGTTCTAAAGCTGGCCAAGGAAGGTGCCTGTGTGTAGGTGGCTCACCTTGCTGCAGTGATAATTGCCACCAGAAGTGGGGCTGTCCAAGATGGCTGCTTCCCTCCCCAAGCAGTGCCTGAGGGTGGGGTCCTCCTTCACAGTGACTGGGGGTGTGTTGGTCAGTGGGTGGCAGAGATGGGGGTGTGCCCTGGTTTTCTGGCCTTAAATGTGTGCTCTTCTGTTGCCATGGTTGCTGGCAGCTCCTCTCCCTTGGTTGTGGAAGCCTGTGTGTGCTCCCCATCCTGTCTGTGCCCTCAGTGGGGACTCTGTGCTCTAGACAGTGGTGGCCATCATGGGGCCTTGGAGATGTTGGGGGCTGGTTCCAGGGTCTGGGTGTGCCTGTGGGGCTTCCATGGGCTCTGGGAGGCTGGGGCAGAGGTTGGCCCTCAGCTGTGCCCCTGTGGTTTGGCTCTCAGTGCTTCTTCCCTGTGGAGCTGTGCACCTTGGGGTTGCTCCATCCTGGAAGGGGCCCTGCCTGGGTGGTTTGGGCTTCAGCCCTGTTACAGTGTTGGGGGGGTGCTCTGTGAGGGGCTCCCCAGTGTTCATGAACGGTTGGTTCACCCCTAAGGCAAGGGAACTATATATGCTCAGTGGGAGGAGAATCCAAGTTTGGCACAAGCTTGCTAGTAGGGTCGGATGCAGCTCTTAATGGGTCCGCACCTGCAGCTCCTCTCTACCTGCCTCTCGGCTGGGCTTTTAGTACCGGGGCATCCCTCTCCCTCCCGATCACTAGGAACGCCCCTCAGGAGCAGTGTTGTGCACGCCCGAGTCCCGGGCGCAGGTGGCCCCGTCTGGGTTCCAGACGGGGCCGCCAGGGTCCTGGGCCCCTCCTCCCCAATGGCACACAGTGGGGAGGAGGGGCTATGGCTGCTGCTGTGCCCTGTTGAGGTCGACCAGTTGGCTGGCTCATGCCCAGCAGCCGCACAGCCAGGTCGACCAGATGGACCGTCCCTGCCTGCCACCAGGTGGCGCCGTGCTGCGGGGCGGGGTGGAGCGGAGTGGGGCGGGCGGGGTGGAGTGGAGTGGGACGGGGAGGGGAGGGGAGGGGTAGGGCGGGGTGGGGAGGGGTGGGGCGGGGCTACAGCGACCCCATTCAGGTTTGTCCATCAGGTTTGTGTCCTTTCCCTTTAGATGCCTCTTCTTGTTGGGGTGCACTCCCCAGGAGTGCGAGGGCGAGAGAACCCCCCTATTTCAGAGTTGCATGTCCTCATTTCTCTGGCGAACCAGGAAAAGGCCTTGGAATCCTGGTCAAGCGACATGAAGGGACTCAGTTTCACCATTTATTTGGGGTTTTCTGGCGTGAATCCCATGTTCTCGGCAGAGCGACGCTCTAGTTTCCATCTCCAGTCATAGCTGCTGAGCTCAGAGAGCAAAAACTAGAAAAACAGACTCATTCTCGCAGGTTTTCCCTTAACCTTCGTGGGGTCGGGACAAGGGCAAGGCAAAATAAGGCGCGCTGAGTGTAATAAGCTGAATTTGGAATTCTATAAACAGAAAATCGGCCTAAAATGTCCACGAGATACACACACACACACACACACACACACACACACTGGTCGTGATTACCAGAAAGCTTAGGAAAGCAGCGGAGAGGCCACAGTCCCTTCACAGAGCCAGAATTCAAGAAAATGACTATTTTAAAAAAACACGGGGCATCCAACTTTAGGAAGCTGCCAAGGCTGGTTCAACTACTGGATAATTTGTAGTAAGAGAACACAAAGAATTCAACCTAAACATTGACAAGAAGAGTAGAAACAATTTTTTTCAAACCCAAGACCTAATGGAAACAAATCGCAAAGCTGGAGGGAAATGGATATAAATCCATCCTGAAGCTATGTCTTTGGGAAAAGAAAGAGTAAACTAGTCAAACGCTTACACATGAACCAAAAAGGAAAGGATAACATGGTAAATTAAGGCAAAAATGGGTTTTCTAGCAACAAAATCCATCATCAGGATGAATAAAAAACTGCAACCGATACATGGCAGCTAAGAGTAACCCCTCCCTCTCTCTAGGACGTGATCCCTCAACGCAGGCCCTCGACAAGTGGACAGCTGAGGAAGGACAAACTGGATCCACACTGGGGGTACAGGCCGAGCACGAGGTTGGGGTGAGGGGATGGGGGAGTGGACAGACAGGTGGTGGTGATGGGCGAGGTACTGCTGGGCGCAGGGTGAGGGGCGCTACTGTGCTGTGGCCTCATGCGTGAGGGCTGCAGGGGACGGAAGAGGCCAGTGCATCAGCCACGGGTGACCGGAGCCGGCATCCTGTCCCGTGGTGGCCTCCTGGGCAGCCGGGGTGGGGTTGCCAGGGCGGGGCGTCTGCGGAGGGGAGGAAGCCCCCTTACCTGGGAGTCCTCAGGCCGGGCTGGGCCTGGTGTCTTCCTCCACGGAGCAGCAGGCCTGGGGGAACGCTGCGTCCAGAGCAGGCAGGTCTGGGGGCACAGAGAGAGGCCGTCAGTGACCAGGCGGCTGGCGGTGCTCAGCCCCACCCTCCCCTGCTGCACCCCTGCAAGTTTCAGGCTGGGAGGAGTGCGGGGGCGGGGGGCCTGGGTGTCCTCTGTCTGCCCCTCACCTCCAGGGACAGCCCCTCGGGGCCGCGCCGCGCCCCCAGCACACCGGAGTGGTTGAAAGAGGCTTCGGGACACCTTGGCGATGCGGGGGCCTCCCGGCTCCCGGAGACTCCCCACAGCCAGAGCCTGACACCCCAAGCTCACGCCCCGCCTGAGATGCACCCCGCCACCCCCGCGCGGCTCAAACGGCGCTGCCCTCGTGGGGGGCGGCCTCTGGCCGCAGCGTCCCGCAGACACCAGGACACCACCACCCGCAAAAGCAAACCCCAAAACTCCCAGACGTCGACCCACTTTCGGGGAGGCTGAAATGGGCCCAGCAGGGCCGCCCGGCCAGAGTCTGAAACAAGGGAGCCCGTTCCTCTCTCAGACGCCCCGGGGTTCCCAGCGGGCAAACCACGACCTCGGGTAGCCGCAGACCCCGCCCCTCCGTGCCCACCGCCGTCTCCCGGGGACCCCGCGGCGTGGGCGGCTCTGGGGGCGTGGCCCGCACCTCGCTGCCCGCGGATGCCCCGCGGCCCACCCCCCGCGTTCAGGCCACGTCCCTGCACTGCGGCCCGTCCGGCTGCCCGTCTCCAGCCCAGCGCTCGGGGCTCTGGTCCCTCCCACAAGGCAGCAGCGGCAAGGGCGCGAGGGGGCGGGGCGCTCCTGGCTGGAGCCGCGGGTGAGCTCCGCCAGGACGCTGCCAAGGGTGTCGGGAACCCCGCCGTGCACCCCGCGGCACGAGGGCCAGGGGCCTGGGCCCCGATGGCCAGCAGAGGCAGGAGCAGGGCGCTGCTTGAAGCCACTGGGTTTGGGGTGACTCCTTCCACAGCTAAGCCGCCCGACACGGCCCCCACAATGTTTGCGCACTGAACCGTAGGGGGACGCCGCCATCTTCATGCCCCGCGGCCCCCTCACCTTTCTCCTTGCCATCATCGTCGGGGGCCGCCGTCTCCACGGCCCCCCAGTCCCGGGCCGGTGCACTCAGCTTCTCCCAGTCCCTACCGTCGCCGGGCAGCGGCGTCTGGGCGCGCTCGGGCTCCAGCAGCGCGAGCGTCGGGTCGGCCCGAGGCTCTACACCTTCAGGTGCCAGAGACGCAGCCTCCTGCTCTCCTGGGGTCACCTCCAGGCGCGCCCACAGATGCCTAGGGGTGTCATGCGCTTGAGACTCATCAGGCAGGGAGGGGAGAGAGGGGGCCCTGAGGAGGTCGGGGGTGGTGCGCGTGGGCGCAGGGGCCACGCAGGGACAGGTTAAAGGAACCTGCCGTGAAAAACATTTCCGGGTGACCAAGAAAGCTCGGCCGAGGCTGCGCCCATCGAGGGACGCGGGTCACGTTGGCGGAGAGGGACACGGCCACGTGGATACGCGAGAAACAGCCGCTTTTGCTTGAAGCGGCTGTTCCAGGCACGTCGGTTGCGTTGATGAAATGGCCGAGAGCAGCTTGGAACAGTCTGCAGTGACACCCCCGCACCCCAGCAGACAGCCCGGGGCGCGTGCCAGCGTCCCACACGCTGGGGCGCCTCAGTATCCGGTAGCATTTCCTGTCGCCTGCCCGCTGCCCCCTGACGCGGCTCTTCCCGGAGCTGACTCCAGCGGGGGCCGCGGGAGCAGCGCCCCCGTCCCGCTGCCGGACAGTCCCGGGGGGGATGGGAGCCCGCGCGCCAGACCCGCCCGGACGCCTCAGCTGCGCTCGCCCCGGCTGTTCCGCACAGCCAAACTCCCCCTCCCCGCAGGAAAGCGGCCAGCCAGGTCCTCCAGCCAAATGGGCACAGGAAACTGCCTCCCAGCAGCCATGAGTCTAAAGTGCGGGGGGGCTCGGCCGAGGCCTTCGATTCTCTTGATAAAAAGGAAAAGGCTGAGCCAGGGAAGTAGGGACGGGGGTGCGGGCAGGAGGGGCTCAGCTAGCTCCCGGGGGCGGGTCCCCGAGCGGAAGGGCCGGGCACACCCTCCCTCGGCCTGGGGGACATCACAGAGGGGACACCTGTGGAGCCAAGGCTTGGCCACCGCTGGCCCGACCCGCACCCGCCGAGAGAAATGGCCACTCCGCGGGCCTGACGGCAGGTGCTGCCCCTTCAGCTCCGCCTCCGTGTTTGCTGTGGCTTGTTCTGCTGCGTGGACAGCCCGTCGGGGCTTATAGAGGTCCCGGCCAAGCGGGTCTCAGTGGCGCATTGCCCAGAGGGCAGGGAAGGACCGAGCCTGGAGTGGAGTCAGCGGGCCGGGGCGGGCCGGGGCGGGCCGGGGCGGGGCGATAGGTCGGCCGCAGGGGCGAGGGCGGTCGTGGTTCCCGGGAAACAGCAAATAGGTTCTCCCGAGGAGGCAGCATGGGCGCGGAGGGGGCCGTCGCGGGGATAGTCGGGTCACCCGCCCACAGCTGGCTTCGCGCTCCGGGCCATGGACCCTGACCCCACGGTCTGGGAAGGCCCTGCGTGCACTCGACGCACACACACTTGGCAGGGACAGGTGCAAACCCGGCGGGGGCGCATGTTAGCAGCAGGTCACCGGGGTGCGCAGACGCGCTGGGAACTGGGGCTGGGATGCCTCCTCCTCCCCCCCGGGGCCCAGAGGCAAGTGAGGGCACCCTGGGCCACAGACAGACCCCGCCCAGGAACCCAGCTCGGAGACCCCCGCGCTAGAGCCTCCGCGCCTCCCGCGCAAGCAGCCCATACGCACGCACCCCGGGCGCCTCCATCACCACCCGCGTCCGCTGCCCCTGTCACGGCCCCTCCCGCCGCTCGCGGGGTCCCTGCGAGGACTCACCCTCCCCAACCAGACCCACTCGGGGTTCTGCAGAGCTGGCGCCGCAGCCACCACAGGTGCGCAGCCCCGGAGGAGACGCTGGGGCGGGAGGGGTGAGAGGCCGAGGGAGCAGGGGAGGTGGGCGCCGTCCATGCTCCTGGTCCCCCGGAGCGTGCGCCCGCGGGGCCGGAGGGGGTGGGGGTCTGCGGAGCCTTCCGGTCTGCGGCTCCGTTTTGCGGGGTGTGGTCCCGGGGCGCGCGCACACACACATCTCTGCCCTGCATCTCAGTTCTTATGGTCATACATAAATAAACATTAAAAAGAAATCTTGATTCATAAAAATGTCCCCTGGCTCTTTATGTACAGGAAGAATTGATTGGAAGCCATCTCAATGAAAACCCCAGGAAGCAATCCACTCTGCCTCTCAGATATATCAAATGTGACCGTGATCAGTCAAGAAAGTGGAATATAAAATTCTCGAGATAGTGTTATTCCAGCATGGATAGAAAATAGGAATGAACTCACCTAGTGTGCATGTGGACAAGAATGGTCTTGGCGTCCAGTGGAGCACGATACAGCAGTGACAGCAGGAGGCTCTCGTTGCAGCCAATCCTGGGGATCACCTCGCCCACATCTTGTTGAAAGAGTCTCCATAGAAAATGAACCAAAGAGGATTGATTTCTATTTCACATACCAGACAAAATGAAAATCAGGTTTTCATGCTACGTTTCATAATACACCATTATGTGAGAACCTGTCGTGAAAAGCCTGGGGAATTGTTATTGTAAAGGTCACCTATTGGCGTGACCTCAGAGAAGAAGATGATGACATGTGATAGTATGTTTCTTCCCCCAGTTTATGGGGGTTCACGTTGTGATTCTGAAACTGTACATGGATACAAACTGCCCTTATACACGGGTGTTCTAGATCACAATTCAAAATAATGGAAATCATCAAGAAGAGAGTCAACTAACTCATAAGAGAGTTTCTCTGTGGATGAAAGATCATCACTGGCCATAGGTCATTTTATATTCATCTACCGTTGAAATTTCCTAGAATGTACACAGCTCTCTCTGAGAATCAGAACCAGTCAACTCTAGCTCGTGAAAACTCACCGGTGCACATATATCCCCGATCCTTGGCAGAGGAAAAGGAACCAGTCAAATTATTTTCAAAGTAAATCATTCTGTTGTGGTTATAGAAAAACTACTTTAAGGGTGAAACTATGGCCTTCCTGCCAGTCTGGCTCGCTTGGGCAGAGCAGACTCAATGAGTGAATTTCAAGGTCACCTCACTGATGTTAGTGAGGGGGGTTGGGTTTCTAGCCTAAACCCAGGCTCCTTCTTGTTCATAAATCCAAACAAACACATTTTGTCCTTTTTTATTTTTAAATTTAGAAATGTATTCTGCTTAACTCACAAGCTTTATATTGCTTTGATTAAAAAAGAGAGACAATAGGACACTCATTGACAGTCCAGACCCTTCAAGCTTTCCAATACAAGAGTTCTGAAAGCTGTATATACCTATGGAAGAAAAAAGGCCAAGTGACAAATGGAGCCATGACATTTCATCAAAGATTTGAAATAACTGAATATCCTTTCTCTGCCTAGGTCATTGGCCTTACTAAAAAACAAACCACAAAAAAGAATAGGACAGTATAGAATGAAATTCCTGTGTTCCAAATCAACTCACATTTATAACCATCCCCAGGGTCCGGCCAATGGAACATTGTCATTTTCTGTCTCCTCCTGGAGCTCAGATCCTGATGATGGTAGCAGAGATTCCACAGTCAATAAGACAGATGGTGGCAGCAACATAGAGCGTTCCACTTTTGTGGAATTGCGGTCTTGGAATGATTTCCAGGCAGGCTTGCCATCCCTAGGAAGCTAGAAGCATTGTCAATTATTTGGGTGCTAAGACTCCAACAAAGTAATGAGAAAGGAAAAACACCTCTGGGAATAACCAGAGCCAGGTCCAACATTAGGGGTTCTCCACCACGAATAGGAGTAACATCTCTACAGTGTCATTAATGGCGATCACTCACTTCAGTCATGTGTGCACTACAGGGCCTCAGGTCACCTCCAGCATGTGCTCAGTAAATGCAATTCCTTTCTCCTTCCCTGAGGAGCCCAACTTCTCCTCATAACAGGGGATTAAGTAACAAAAGTTTAACACATTAGAACGGTTAAGAGGCAACATGGATTTTTTACAAAATGCCAAGTTCCCAGGTGAATGAGTCACTGTGGCTGATGCAGCCCCTGAAATAGGAATTTTCTTGGCACACAGGTGCCAAGGTGTCACAGAGAAAAGATCTCATGAGCTCAGGAAAGGGCCCTTCAGTGTCTCAGATTATTCCCCATGAAGAACTTTGCACACCCCATTGGTGATAGTGGCCAGCTGTACCTGCTATATCTCTCAGGTGGGTCCTTTAGTGATACAGAGGGTTACTGCTTTCACTACTCTGAGTCAGTTAATAATAACCCATTTTAGAAACTCAGGGACGTGCAGCCAGAGTGCGGCAGCCTTGTGGCTCCTGGTCACTCGAGGTTAGGAAAACCCGAATTCCATTCAAGGAAAAATCTAAAGTCGCCTCATGAGGCAGTTTCCAGGTTTGAAATTCCCCTTCCAGGCTCTGAATGACCACATCAGCTGCACAATAGGTAAGTGAAGGCTCAGCCCTCAGATGTGGCCCAGGACCAGCACGGGCTGCATCTCAGACTCCGTGAGAAAAGCAGAGCCCCAGGCGCCACGCAGTCCACTGGTCAGAGCCTGCACCCCGGAAGAGTGGGACGTGGCTTGGCCTCCTGCCTGCTGGACCTGGGGCGGGAGGGGGATAGGGCCCCAAGAAAGTAGAAAACCCGTCCCCCAAACTGCATTGAAAACCGCGGGGATGAAAATGCACAGGCCGGCAGGGGAATGGAGGGCCCAGGACCCGCCAGGGCGCCCTCGCGAGCCACAGTCGGGAGCAAACGCCTCGGGAAGCAGCGGGGTAACCTGCAGGAGGGAACCGGACCACTGCGTCCTGCCGGGCCCCAAAATGATCCCCAGTTCTCCACACCCAGCCCGCCGCGCTGAGGCCTCCCTGAGCCCTCGCGCCTTCCCTCCCTCGGCCTCACCTGTCTGCTCCAGCGTCCCCCGGCTCCCCAGGTCAAGTGTAGTGGCACCCCCACGGGGTTCCTGAAGGACCAAGCTCACCCCAGTCAGAACCTCACCCCGAGTCCGGGGCCAGCAGGGCCAGGGGCCCGGCCTCGGTGAGCGCGCACGCGCGGTAGCGGCGCAGGTGCAGCCAGGTGCGCTGGGCGGGGCTGGGCGCGCAAGGGCTCCCAGAGGCCACGCCCCCACGGGCGCAGGCGATGGCGGAACAGTCCGCAAATAAACACTGAGATGCAGACAAATGTCTCCTCCTCGCCCAAAATACTGTGACCCTAAATTATCCGCTAGTCATTAAAATGGAAAACAAGGTTGTTTGAATTTCTGGGAAAGATTTTTTTTTAATTATTCTTAAAAATCCCCTTACCTGAAACTGATATAAAAGCATGACTAGGGACCTCCCTGGTGGTACAGGGGTTAAGCACCACACTGTGCAGCCATTGCAGCCTCTGGAGCCCCAGTTCCACCCCCAGCCAGGAAGGTGACCCACAGGGTGCCACAGACCTCTCCTGTCTCCCGGCTGCTCCCCTCAGCAGTGGATTTCAGTCAGTCCACCTGTCCTGTTCCCCACTCTGTCTCTGTTGAATCCCCTTACCCCACCCCCCACCTCTGGCCTGCACCCCAGCTCTTGTATTCATAAGTAAATAAATCTGTTAAAAAAAAAATAAAGGCAGGACTAAAACGTCATTTACCTGCAGATCCTGACATGGATCCTATTGAAAACACTAACAAGCAGCTGTTATTCAAAATACATTCTGAGAAAAATGAAGGCTCTCGGCTCCATATATAATGTATCTCATTGCACATCATGGTGCAGTGCAATACACTGTGGCCCAGACTTTGACATCCCTGAGTCTGTTCTGTGGTTGGTGGTTAGGGCTTGGAGTCAGGCCAAGCTGCAGAGACTGGGGCAGGGTACTCCCCTTTTATTAGCAGTGATGAATGAATGAGTCAAAAGAAAAAAAGAACACACTTCTGCCAAACTGCAATTACAAACATGTCTCAAATTGAGTTTCCTACCTTGGAAGAATTGATGGAGGACAAGAGTGAAAAACCTGGAAAGGGGGTGCCCCGAGACCAGAACCTGACTTACACAAGGAGTTGGGGGTAGAGGGAAACAACACGACCATTAACCCAGTGTAGAAATCAAGCCCCTTGGGCACAGTGCCTTATCACAAGACCTAAGGCCCAAGCAGTATCAGAAGGTCTAGGGAGTGGCGCACAGGCCTGAGGGGAAAGACAGGGAGATTGGGTCCATCCTGGAACCCGTGGCCCCTTTCTACTTTTGCTAAGCTATCCGACATCAGCAACAAACAGGCCAGCCCACAAAGAAGTGACACCTCCCAAAGAGAAAAGGACTATACCAGTGCAGTCTCTGCCCTGGCAAGGAGCAGCCGACATTCTGCCCACCCGAGACTTTTTAGGTACTTCCTGTCACCAACTCTCTCCCTCCGTGGGGCAGCAGCCAAAGTTCAAATTGCAGAGTTACAAATGAAACAATTTCATATACTAGAGGTTTGCTTTTTTTTTTTTTTTGTCTAGGACAAGGGAAGGAAAAATCAATGAAGGTGCTTACCTGGGGAACAAAGTTACTTCTTTTAAGGGGAATAAATAGTGGGTTAGTCTTTTAAAAACAATGTTATCAAAAAGCAGTCCATGTATAAACAAACCACATTTATCTCTGTTAACACAGACCAGGTCAATAACTTTTTTTTTTTTTTTTTACTTTTTAAAAAAATATTCATTCATACATAGAAGAACCGGGGCATAGGCCAGATGTGCGGGAGGGTGAGAGGATTCACCAGAGACAGAGCGGGGAGCAGAACAGGCAGACCAACCAAAATGCACTGCTGAGAGGAGCAGCTGGGAGATAGGAGAGCTCTGCCGTGCCTTGTGGGAATCTCCCTGGCCAGCCGGGAATCGAACCGGCGCTGCAGAGGCTGCGGTTTCAGAGCACTGCGCTCAACCCCCTGCACCACCAGGAAGTCCCAAATTTTTTTTTAGTTAGAATTTATCTAGGCTCCATTTATAATAGCTTTAACACAGGTGCAGAAGCATGGGCGGGGCTGCAGGAGCAGGGGAGTGGCTGGGGCAGGGGCGGAGCTGTAGGAGCAGGAGCAGGGGCGGGGCTGTGGGGACGGGGCTGCAGGTGAGGGTGTAGCGGGGGCTCTCCAGGGCCCGGGGCAAGCGGGAAAGCCCCGGGGTGCTCACGGGGGCGCCCCCGCACGTCCTGCTGCGGCTGAAGTTTGGAAAAATCAAACGGAAATGCAGGCGAAGAGCCCACATCTCTGAAAATGCTATTATCCTAAAATTTCCGCAGCCAATAAAAGAGCAGATCGTGTCCATGTGCATTAAAAACACGCTGGGGAACACTGACCCGCGGCCACAGAGGGCCCCCAAACCTGCTGGCCCACCACAGTGAGAGAAGGGGCGTCTTGCTCCGGCCGCCCCGGCCTGGCCCGCCCCGGCCTGGCCCGCTCCCGCACTGCCTCAAGATTCCCCGCGAGGCCGCATTTCCCCGCCTCACCACCAGGCGGCGCGCGCTCCCCCCGCCTGTGCTTTGCCCCACTGGGGCTTCTCCTTCCTCAGCCTGCGGTCCCGCCCCAGTGGGGCGAGCACTGATAGGTTCCACGTTTCTGCCACTTCCGTTCCCACCGCCGTTCCTGCGTCACTGCACAGTGACGTGACATCGACACGCAGGGGGGCGGAGCAAGGCCGAGGAAGGAGAGGCTCGCGGGGGAAACTAGGGACACAGCAGCGGCGCGCGCCGCCTGGTGGCGCGGAGGGGCGGTGCGGCCAACGGGGGACATTGCGGGGCGGAGGCGCCAGGGCCCGCGGGAGGCACAGAAGGGTCGGAGCCATGGCCGTGGGGCGGGTCAGCCGGGCGAGCGGGGCACGCCCGAAGAGTCGTGGTGGGGTCCGCGCAGGGCGGGGGCAGGAAGCGGGAGTGTGTGACGTCAGAGCCCTGAAGATGGGGAGACACAATGACGTGGAGGCAAGAACCCGTTGAAGTAGGGATTCTCGCTCATTCATCGAAGAGAAGAAGCTGGTGTCGCCCTTGTGAATTTAGCTGTTAGCATTTGGGATGTTATATATCTGTGTGTGTCTGTATTAAAAGAAATAGTAATTCAGGTTTTGAGACATGACCTGAGGAAATCCTTTGACACACACACACACAAATCTTTATTTGTGAAAATGCATTTTCTCATACAAATACTGAAACAATCTAAGTCAAAACTCCAGGAAACAGTGAAATATAATTTCAGTATGTACATGAAACAAATGTAGCAATTAGGCACAGTCATTCTGAATAGTTTTACATGACTTGGAAAATACTTGTGTTATAATGTTAAATAATGGAGGAAAGATATAATATTGTAGGCATATAAAATGAACATAATATGATTGATTTAAATTTTAAATACCAGACAAAACGGAAACCATGAGTTATGTATGCATTTAGTGATACACACTTAGGTGATGAACTGTCATGAAGGGCAAGGGAAATTATTATAATGGCAGCCACATATTCATGCTTACTTGGGGAGGAAGATTATGATATAGTGTGGTCTTAGGCTTCTTTACCCAGTTAATGGGAGTTCATTTTGTAATTCTAAATTTTCACCTGTACAGTCTCTGCCCTTACATACGGGTGTCATAGTTCACAGTTCAAAATATTGGAAATTATGAGGAAGAAAGTAAGCTAATTCTTAAAATTATCTATTTTAAAAAGATTTATTTATTTTTATGCAAATAAGAACTGGGGTCTAGGCCAGAGTTACAGGAGGTGAGAGGATACACCAGAGACAGAGTAGGGAGCAGAACTGGTGGATCCACTGAAACCCACTGCTGAGGGGAGCAGCAGGGAAACAGGAGAGGTCTGCTGCGCCATGTGGGTCAACTCCGTACATGGGGATCAAACTCAGGCCACAGTGGCTGGCAATAGCTTGATAGCACCGAGCCTTTCACTCCTGCACCACTAGGGAGACCCTAAAAGTATTTATCTTTTGAGGAAAATCACAGTTCACTGTTTCTCATTGTATTTTATTCTAATGTTCAAATATTCTACAATGTACACAGCTCCCTTTCAGTTTCAGAACCAGTCAACCAAAGCCAATTTAAAAATTGGTGCAATCATTGGTGCAATTACCACCCTGCTCCTTGGCAGGTGAAAAGTAACCATAGAATTTTTGTAAAGAAAGCCTTAAAAATTCTGTTGCAGTTACAGAAAAATTTCTGAGGGTGAAAATATGGCCTTCCTGATAGTAAAGCAGGCATGGGAAGCGCAGCTGCATATCAGTTAATGTCAAGGTCACCTTGTTTTGTTTTGTTTTTAATTAACTGAAGGAGGTA